ACCCTATTTAGGCGGCGGTCCCAACATGAACCACAATATAGTAATGTAATCAATCTTTTAGAAAAACAAGCGTTTAGAAAGATCAATCAAAATCTTTAAAACTGAGTCAAGACGTGGTCGTTAAACAAATTAGTGCATAAGATCGTCTGAAATGTGCCGATAGAAATGACATTCATTACTGGTGTACCCTGCTGCATGCATGAACTGACCTGTGGAATTACCCCATTTAAATAGGCGCATTGAATGTCTCCTTGTTTTTGTAAATGAGAGGGTCATAAATACAATTAAAATTCGGCTTGATGTCAGCGAGTATATCTAAATAATCTCTCCACACAGTGGCCTACGTCACGTTATTCGTCATTTTCCACCTACGTACATGTTTTATTACATTGTTAATTGAAATGATATTTAACTGCTTCGATTGATTTCGGTGATTCTGTTTCTACATGGAAATACTGCAGATGAGCCATATCTTCAAAACGTTTTAAAATACGTCGATGAATCATATTAAGCTTTTGTGTCAAATCTCGACGGGAGTCAAATGCAACAGAGGGCGCAATTTCGTCTGCTGTTTTCCAGCGACAGTGAGTTTGGTCAATTAAATCTGCAATTGCTTCCGAGAGCAGTCCAAGTCAAAAGGAAGCATAGTAACAGAGTTTAAAACGAACGGGTTATTAAAGAATGGCTCATTGAAGTACTCATGAATTTCTGTAGGTTTTGAATGACAGTAAAGTAGTTATTAACTGGAATATCAAGGGAAATAATGTCAAAAAATTGTACTGTACTTCAAATTTCCGATTTGTTTGAAATAAAAGTCTGCAAAACAAAAACTTGGATGTTCGAGTACAGAGTACAGGTAATGCTGGAGAAACTGTAGTCTAAAGGCAGTAACACGTGATAATAGGTGCACGAGACCCTACCCGCTGTCTTTAACGGGTTGGTAGATGACATGTCGCGGGATCCAGTGGCGTCCGTGCCACAAGAAATCATTACATTTAATGTGCAGCGTATTGATTAGGTCGATAGATGGCGACATACTAATAAATCGATGCCACAGTTTTGAAGCACAAAGCTGGTTAATAATCAAAACTCGCTCACGACACGATAAATCAACAAAATTTCCGATATGTGTACTCAATATAGGTGATTTCATTTGTCTAGAATCTGGCAGTTGAAGACTACGTATTAAATTTTTATTATGAATTGTTTTGAGTAACACAGTGATTAAAGTTGTTCGGGCAGGGAACAGCCCTGACTTATACCACAATTGAACTCAAGAGGCGAAGTGAGGGCGTCGTTAACTTTCACTGAACCTTGCATGTTTGTATACAATGTCAATGTGCACTGAAATCCGAACGCCTTTAATGTACTCAGTAAATAACTATAATACACGCGATTTAGCGCTTTTTTTGATCAAGTGAAAGAATCGCGAGTGGAATATTATGCTGGTTGGCATAACTAATTGCGTCGCGCAGTAAATTAATGTTATCGGCAATATTCCAACTTGGTATTGAACAATTTTGATTACTTCCCCCAAGAACACAACGCAGCCGCATGGACAGTGCTTTTGTAAGAATTTGTAATCACTGCACTGAAGTGAGACTGGTCTCCAATTGTTCATTACCCTGTTTAGGTAATATTGACGAGACAGCTCTGCGACAAGATAGTGGCAATTTACTTGCATAGAGGTGGAGAAAACTTTAAAATAATCACGTCCGATTAACGACCAGAAAGTTTTGTAATATCAGGCGACGCATTATTATTTAATTTATTAACAGCTATGGCAAGTTTATCAAATTGTATTTCTGTATCAATGCTATCTCTACTCAAATCAGTAAGTTGAGGTAAGTCATCCAAACGTTTAGTTGGCGGTTCTATGGAAACCGAGGCCGGCGTAAACTGGTGTGAATAGAAATATTGAACGATTTTTCTAATTTCAGTTAGGTTTTCCGTGAGTAGACCAATTAATTACTCAAGCTGTGTCATCATTGATTTGTCCTTTTATGACGTTCGAGGACGAAAACAGAGAAGCTTCTACATTGCTTTTATTAAGTTGTTTGAATCTGCACGATTGCGCCCTGTATCCGTGTTTTAACAAGTTTCTCTAGTAGTTCCTTTTTCTCCTTGATGCGAATTTCTACATTTTCGACAGTGGATCGGCTGCTCTTGAGATTACACAATTCATTTTCCAGGGTATTTTAAGTTGTTTTTTTTAAATTTGAGTTTCTGAAACTAATGTACTTTTGCGAAAAAGTGTGATTTTCAGCTTTCGTATTTACCCTTGCTCTTGTTGCCATTGTTTCCATATAACTGCTATTTACTCACGATAGTGTTCGTCATCCTGTAGTTGAGTATTCAGACACCAAGTGGGACTGTGAGTATTTATTAACGCACGCGACAATTTCAACGTCAATGGTGAGTTAACACCTGTACCGAATTTACAAGTTGAATCAGAGTTTTTTTAACAATGTAGATACGATCTAGTCGTGCTGCACTGTTGTTTCTTGACTAAGTATAATTGACACTGTTCCCTTGGAAAAGACGCCACGCATCAACGTGTTTGTGCCGTTTCATCATATAACTTTTAATTGAAAGTTCGGCACTAGCGTGATCTGGTTCAGTTGTAGTAAGTCTATCGTAGGCGGGATCGATCGTGCAGTTAAAGTCACCGCCTAAAATCACAGGGTTTTCATCATGCAGCTCATTGAGAAATTTCCTAATTTGTTTGAAGTTATATCTCTGAATATATACATTCACTAAATCACTAAATCTTTCCCGAACGTGTAACACTCTGCCAGGCACAATATCATTTGTTTGTAGGATATCAACATTACTACGCTTATTGAACTCCTCGAGAATTTCGTATACCGTTTAAGTGCATCTCCTTCCACCACGAACATTGAAAGAAATCACTGCCAGGTTCGCCATCAGCATAGATTGCAAAACAAAAGTTATGTGAGTCATTACTTCAAGGTTGAACGCCACCCGGTCGTTTTAAGATGCGCCACCACCACCACCACCCCCCTCTCGAATTTCTGGATCGGCCAGTGTCACGCGCGAAACTAGGGGCCGGCGCGCTGGGCGCCCCACCCTCTTCAGGCCGTAAAAAATGGCAAATCAATTGACAAACCCAGTCCACTGTATGTGCATGGACGTGGTCACGTCATTAGAAGCCCCCCCCCCTTTGTTTTGAGTCCGGTCAAACTCTGATGGCAGCCATGTTTGTTTTATTATTAGAGGACGCTTCCGCGCGTAATCATTCCATATTTGAAATTCGCATTTCCTTATATAGGATGGTACCCTATGGTAGAATGAAAATATCCCGCATAATACCGCAAAATTACGGCACGCTCTAACTTATGGCGTTACGGTGAAAGATGTATAATAATAAACTTCATCGTTAAATGAAAAAAACTAAAGGTGCAGCACTGGATAATTACTATAACTTGGATTAGATACATTTTTCCGCATTGTAAAGTTTAAATTAAGAAAATTTCACATCAACATATTTTGTGGGACTCTCTTGCACCTTCACATAACGGGTTGGATTGTGCTGACCTAAAAATAGACTTATATACAAAATAAATACATTAATATCTATAGTAATTACAGTAATAATCAAACATGTGCTTACTAGCAAAATATAGTTGTGATTGAACAACAGATTAGAAGCAGACAAATTACAAAATTGATATTACGGAAACGGGTTAGGGATTTTTTTTTTTACTTTTCTCAAATATATTATACAACAATAATGATTGAACAAATTAATTGATCAGATACTGAGATCAATAAACCGTTTTTTACACCTTATATGCCATTCACATATGAGTTATTTTATATGACAGCAATAAAGAAACACGTCACTGCCAAATGCGCCTAAATGAATGTTATATATATATTTACATTCGCAAAAGCATTAATTTTGAAAAGCATGGCTTCAGATCATATCTAATAGAAAGTTGGATAAGCGTGGATAAATTTTATGACATTAGATTAGATGGGGAACAATGTATATCAAGTCTGAAGCCCCCCCCCCTGGAGTTGGCACTCTAATTAATTAATATCTTCAATTATTCTCGGATATCTAACGAGAAAAATATGAATACCATACTTGTCGATACTCGCTTGTGTTTGGCTTGTATTGTTTCACTCCAGATTACATATATACAATAGAAATGAAAAACAACAACTAGAAGCTTATGCATGTATGTAATATAAATGTATACAATAATGTTAATGTATATTGCACTTATAGTGCTTTCAGGGTGCCTTCTAGTTTATTAATTAGTATGTATAAATCTTGAATGAATGAAAAAACGATTTTCAGCCAACAGTATAAATGAATCAATCAATCAACAAAACAATCAATCAATCTATAAATCAATCAATAAATAAGTAAAATGGGAACTGAAAGGTCATTATTCTGAAGACACGAATAATTATTTAATCTTGAATACCCTTTCTGGAATGCAACATCTTTGTTTATATAAAGTCATCAGGGGACACTCTAATGCAAATAAATGAATATTTTTGAATACCAATCTGTTACTGTAATTATGCGAGTAATTCGGAATAAAGTTGAATCTCTGTGAATCGACACTGTTGTAATGTGGTAGGGAGTGTTCAAACACTTTAAACGGAGAATAAACTTTGTTCCGATTCGGAATTACTGTTGTCCACAAATGTATGTTTTACAAATTTAGCAATTTATAAACTTGAAACTAAATTAGAGACAAAGAATCCTACCCAGAGTAACTTTGTCATCCTAAGTCATCCTACACGTTTTCAATGTTGGAGCGGCCAACAACAATAAATGCACAGATAAATATAGTAACGTGCAGAGTTGCAGTTATATGATATTACCCTCGTGCTGTAATCATCATTCTTTAGCTAACAAGTTCCCATGACAACCACTCAAAAACTTACATATTATTTATATTCTTCACTGAGACGTGAATAATAGATCTCCCGGTTCTATAAGCAAACTTAACTATATGCTAAAACGTCACAAATGACAGATTTGTCATCTGCGTGGGGCTGTCTATTGCGTAATAGTTCATCATATCCATAAGTTTGTGACATTGTGTCAAGCTTTGAATTTCTTCTACATCATCATACAACAGTCTAGACCGCCACGATTGAGCAGCAGCCGTGGAGTTCTTGTGTGTACTCATTTTACTCATTGAATTAATATTATCCTGTTTTGTATTTGCACTGATCCAGTCAGTAACAATTGAAGGTAGAGGGAGATTGATAAAATGGTATATAATTTTAGCTGTTTTAAGTGGGTCTATTGCAATATCCTCGTACCGGATACGTTTGTATCGGCCCTTTAACCAGTCGGGTATATTTGAGCTGAACTCAAGTTTTTCTACCGTAGATTGACAATAGGTGTTCATCGAGTCGACAAGTGGCTTTTTCTCGGTGTATCCGTAGAAGCGCTTTCTTGATGAGGCGACTCCGCGAGGATCTCTGACGAGGTGTAGTACCTTCAGATTCATTCTATCTTCAACTACAAGTGATTCTAATAGCGTTAGGGAGTCCAAACGTATGACTTTCATTGCTACGTGCTTAAACGTATCACAGCTTTCAGACAACTGTTCAGGTGTCAATGTACTGCATCCCACACTCTGCTTGCATGCATCTTTTAGAGTGTCACTCCCCTCAACAGCCAACCTCCACTTCCTAATATGGTTAAGAAAATACGCTGGAAAACGACAGGTGAAGGTGCTTTTCAACAGTTCTATTGTCTTGGAAATTGCCCGATTTTTCCATCTGCGTCACTTTGCGGAATGTCTTGCACAAGCCTCAAGGGCTCAAACAAATAAAACATGTCTGGGTTTTGATTGAATAATTGACCAGTGAATGACGAGCCCGTTCGGTGAGCGGCAACAAGTATAACTTTAGCATCATTGGTTTTCCTTCTTATGTCATCTGTAGTTTTTAAAACTTTTGCTTCTCTCATGGCATCAATCGTCTTAGTTATGGCTGTGAATGACTCCATAGTTATTTTAATATTGAAGAACACAGTGGCGGCTAATATTATTATCAGCACGAACACGATTCTAACTGTCCTGTTCATTCTGAATTAGAATCTGAAAAGTAATAAATATGTAAATATATTTAGATAATCGATTACTTCCGCTTACTATTTATTAACGTTATACGGTAGATACCTATCTTTACTATTATCTTTGCATCTAAACATGTTCCAAGATCAAAGTCAAATACACTATATTGCTATGGAGTACAGCTTGATTTGAATTACATTACATGCGTTTCAGTTAGTTGTCTTCACCAGTCACCATGTGACGTGGAATAGTGAATAATACACAACTACCCTCACAATGTTGACCTAATAATATAGCATATTTAATATGATAAAATTAACCTGTAAATGGACATATCACATGAACGACTTTAATGATTATTATAATAAGCTGAATCAAATTACGAATAAATGGGCCATTCAGTTTTGTGTGAGAGAAAAAGTCATTTATTAAACAGAACTATATACAAATTCACACTATAATGACAGTTAAATAAAGTTTCATATTTTTATATATATTTCTGTATGTCGTTCAATTAATTAGAGGGGTCAAACATGATTTCACCAGCAAAATGCATAATCTATTGTACACAAGGTTGAGACGTATTATACCTCATTATATACCATATGCTTAAAATATGCTTTGCTTGTCGAGTCTTGGTATCTTTGTAAAAACCCATTCTGGACATAATGAATTTTAAAATCGAAGAAACTAGTAAACATTTCATTGACATTTAGGTTCCAACGTTGCACATGCACTTCATAATTTCTATTATCTTCTTTAATCACCAGAAATACACGTCAAAACAATCTCCCCTGAATTGTTTAACCATGTTATACCGTTAACACTATATGTATAAAGTTATTCAAATCACCGTTGATCATTATATTCCTGGCGACATGGAAATGAAAAGAGCAAAAGCTTAGATGACTAGCTAAGCATGCATATTGGTATAGTTGCATTTATAATTCAAATATAACAAGGCTTTATGACTTACCAAATAAATACATGCGAAAGTATGTAGTATACTATCGACGTTGTTTTAAACAGAATCGGACAGGCGTGGAAGTACGTTATCTCCTTCATTTGAATATTTGTTATGCCCTCTACAACCGTAAATCACTTTAATGAATATAATTATTTTGTCGGATTATGTTTCCTTATTGAAACACGTCATATTTATTCGTAGTAAATAAATATAAAACATACATGTACGTGCACTGCCCTCTGTTATGTGACAAATTGCGTCAACCACGAATAACACATTCTATAAAGCAAAAAAATTTGGTTTGCTGTTACCAAAATTTCATACAACTTTATCCTCGAACAAATTTGTCAGGGGTTCCCTCCCCTTCATGTTTATGTAATTGCGAATAGGTTGAAACGAGTGCGATGTTTGGCATTTTGCCCAATGGTTATAAAGTAGGTTGGAAATGCCTCAAGTCGATTATTCAAATTCAGTCAAGTTTGCATATTTTATAGTAATAAACATGCCGTTTGATACATTACATTTCAGAACATTGTTATTTTTTCTCTTACATTTAACCTAGATTGTATTTCCGAAAATGATTGTGTTCTATATTTTGCTTAATTGTATACACATCAAACGTGTTGGATTTTCTCTATATAAATTGTGATATAAATATAATAAAATACTGATATTATTATTTTCATTCCAACATGTGTCTAATGCGCAACCCATAATGACCTAGATATATTATAATGAAACATGATTAATATTTATTTTTTCATATAAACTTGTTTCACTATATCAAGTTCTAACATGTTTCGTAATTACAACAATAGGTTAATTTATTTCAACGTTTAAAAGGAAAATTAAAAGCGTGTAATTATAAATTAATATAGAAATAGTAATTTCCGTTAATATTGATATAATTTCCGAGTAATATAATGCTTCAATTATACACATGGTTGGCAAGACGTCACCTTCAGGTAGTTCGAAACCATAAACAATGATAACAGTAAATCAAAAATCGTTGTGTGAAGATTAACATACATGCAAGCTATTTACGAGGTAATTATGTGTTGTTATGATAACATATGAAAAATATTCCAAAAAGCGACACTTTTTGAAACATTTTCAAATTATTTCATTAATCAAAATTATTATTTTTCATGATAGCAAATAACTTTCATAACATTAAATATTATTTTTTAGTGTAGATATGGTGAAATATATGTTTCTGCCATAGGAATCAGTTGTAAACACACACTTGTAATTGTAAACACACATTTGTAATTTCAACTATTTTTTTTTTGTCAAATTTAGTAGCCCATCCTATATATCAAAGTTTCTCCCTCAACATCCAACTTAATTTTCTTGTGACCCTACAAGCATATTTGACCCTCAATTTTCAACTTAACGTTTCGTTTGTCCCTCAGATTTGTTCACTGAAAATAAATTTAATTTTGTTTACTCTATGGTGATTATCAACAAGAAATACTGATACCCACGTTTCCTTATCATAACTTTTTTTATCGATGTTGTACACTCTAGCTTTACGTTACGAATAGATTTAATTTATTCATAAAGACACATAAGAATGGGCTATGTTTATTGCATCTGCTGATAAATATTTTCTTGAATGTCTGTTGGCCTTCGACTGTTGTTTTAATACAAATGAGACATTTTTTTTTAACATACATTTTCAAAGCATTTTTGTGCTTCATGGCCTGTCACCAAGTCTGGCTACCATGTACAATTTTCACAGAACACTCTTTTTTCTACAACGTTCTTGATAACCATTAAAACCATTTTTTCTGTAGAATTGTAAAGTGGTTCTATTACTGACAGACAATGTTTGCTATTTGATGAACATCATTAATATCATAAATAAACAGAAACAGATGTATTGATGCTGAAATGTCTATGTCACTATGTAGTACAGTTCTCATTACAGAATGAGAAACAGGCGATACGATAAACTGTAGAATAAAATGTGGAGGAAATGACTGTTCAATACACCATGAGATTGATACAATATATGTATTGTAACTGAATATGATGCAGCTGACCATCTGCATCATGTCAAATTGAACAGTTGATATAATGGACCAACTAAAAATGTAGAATATGCGCACAATTTTCCACTCGCTGTCCTAGTTTCAACAAACTCTTTTTTCAGCCAGTAATGCTTCAATTGCATGGTTTTGGTGATCGGTGAAGATTTTTATCTTGAATAACTGCGTGATTTGTTCAGCTTGGGTCACTTTACTTTATTTTGATACACGATAGCTCATTGGCTGTTTATTTGTTGTTGCATCCTCCTCCTTGTCGTTAAGGGCGCCTATTAAATGCACACTCTAGTGAATCCATGAACGAAGTTTCGGTAAGACAAGAAGACATGGCCTTCACTGTCGCTCAAAAAGACGAACCAAGCATTATTGCTTGCCCCGGCATGAACCTACATTCAAATATTTGTGGGTGTGGCACGAAGTCATATTACGAAGTCCTGAACTGGCAATGTGACTTCAGTTTGATCTTGGGAATGATTTCGCCATCGGTCCCGCTAAAAGTGCGAACTAACATATTTGCCAGTTTAGCGTGGCTCAAGCAAGATGTATTTAATAATTATTAATGTGACCCACATCTTAAGTATTGTAAATGTACCAGTAACAACAGAACGACATTATTGCCTAGCCGACTAGACACATTATAGAAAATAGTATACAGTAGCTAATCTGCCTCGATGTGGTTTATGTACGCACGGAGCTAAATAAAAAGAGCTCCATTTTGATAATAGTATTCTATTTTAAATATTCGGTGGCTCTAAAAAGGGCCGTTTGGTTTGGTTATAACATTGAAAGTTGTGTATTTGTCAGTTCAGCGTCGTACGTACATGCATAATTTTATTTTGGGAGAAAACGCAGAAAATACAACTTACCTCGTATTAGTTGCATTGTCGATTAGCTTCCACAGTGTGCGTTCCAAAAATATAATTTGTTGGAGACAACGAAACACGATTATGGTCATAACAATACCGCAACTGTTTACAGGAATAGTGTTTCGCTGTTGAATACGAGTGGCTTCCTTGAATGTTGAACGAAACGTGTCAACAAGTCCTTTCAAAACGGAATATACTGTAGCATACGATGTTCGCACAGATTTGAAATAACATCTGCTGTGTACCAAATAAAAAACTGGGTGGACCATGTAAATTGCATTTTCTATGACACTGATCCAATCCCGGGGATTGCAGAGACACACTTTATGTAACTTAACTTGTTTTTTTTATGGCTAATAACCTGAAGGAAATTCCATTTTCTAAAGAAAACTATTTTCTATAGTTTTTCTGCCATCGCCCTCACCGAGATATTCTGATGGTTCATCTTTAGTGAGTTTGATTTCAGTATTATATGAGTGGGATTGCTTGTTCAACATACGATAGAAAAGTCGTTTGATGACATTGTTTAGGGGCGACCTTACATGTAACTGTATATGTACTCAATTTTATCAATTTTATTATGTGTTTTGAGCCAGTCAGTTATAAGGTCAACATAGTTCGTCATAAGGGGCGCTGTAATACTTAAATGTAGGGAGCTAAATGTGTTATGCAGTGTACTCCGGTTACATATTCACATATTTAGTGGTATTGTATAATCTCTATCAATGATAAAAACAAGATAATCATCTCGTTAGCCGCTGAAAGTAATTTCTCTTAGAAATAAGGAAGGATCACCACTTTTGCGGATGTGGTATTATGTGCATTTATTATATTTCATAGCTGTTTTATTGTCCTTTATTTCCCTTTCCTTGCAGCTTACTCACTTTGTTTTATGACCTGGGCAATAATATAATCATTGTATCAATTTGCTCGCCATAATGTGCATTGTTGCCGTCTTTAGCATTTACACACTTCAAGGATAAGTGTAAATGCTAAATGAAGTGTCAAATCACACACTCAGAATGGGTATGTAACCAAACCTTTCACTA